GTCAGGGGAGAGGTTCTGATGTGAAGGGGGGGCTCGCATATGAAAGGGGGGCTCTTATGTAAAGAGGGGGGCTCTGATGTGAAAGGAAGGGGCCTCTGATGTGATGGGGGATCCTAATGTACAGGAGGGATTCTGATGCGAAAAGGAGAACCCCACATTTTTGTGTTTTTGCATAGGCCCCCCCTTAAAATTCACACCAGACCCCTCAGATAAGGGTCTGGTATGGATTTTGGAGGGGCTACACGTCTTTATTTTTACATTTCTCTAGACATTTTTATTAGAGTTTATTAGTGCCTAAATATTTTGCACACTTTTAAAGGATGCCGTGAAAAAAGGTTGAGAAACGCTGCCTAAAAGTGAACAGGCAGTTAGTTCAGTTAGTAGTATGCAAAACACTCTCATTTTTTTCTCATCAATCTCATTACAATAGATAGCATGGATGGGAATATACTTGTACAGTTGAGGAGAAAACCTGCATATATTTTTTGTGTCCCCAATTAAACAGCAGAAAGGAAACAAAGATTTGCATTTTAGAGTTTTTTGGGTTTTTTTAACAGGTAGAGCACTTTATAATTTTTCTCAGAATCCCGGAATACTGAGAAACCGATAGTACAGTATATTCCACGGAGGAATGTAGAGATAACAAGGCTTCCCTTGAGTAGATACAAGTGAGCATGAGAGCAGTTCTTGAAATTAAATGTTAATTGGTCCCTGACATTCAAATACAAAACTGGACATAGTTCAGCAAGTATAATAAAAATGATATCCATACATGCTTAAAATTGGACCCAAACCTACACATTTTGAATTGAAGTATTCTAGCACACAATTTCCAACTTTTTTAGGAGGCTAAGTAATTTTAGTTTTGGCGAAAAAGTAGATAAATTGTTATTTTTGTCTTGAACTGAGCAAAACATTTAATAAATCCATTGAACTTGTCACATCACTGCCAAAAAGTGTCACATTCTGCAAGCATATGTCAAGGCTCTCTCAAAATGGGATGAAAAGCACATTTTAATGTAAGAATTGTTGAGCTATCTGAAACTCTCCAGACACTTACTGACATCAGTAGCAGGAAAATTGTATATTGCCCAATGACCCAGTCCTCTTGAATGGTCAGTCCTGGACACACCACTAACATTAGCTAGTTTACGGAATCTACTCAATTCATGTCCAGTTAAGGACTTTCATCAATGTGATCCCAACCATTTGAAGGAATGCTTGATACCTTGTCAACTTGGAATGCATTGTAATCAGTGGCGTCACAAGGGGGGTGCGTCGGGGTGACACCATTGCAGGGATGACACCAAAATGACTGACAGTCATTTTGGTGTCCCCCCCTCTAAAAAGTCAGGCACTCGGGTTATGGACCGAGAGCTCGGCAGTGTCAGGAGTGAGGAGGGGACCCGGCGGCATGCCTCATTCCGCCGGGTGAACGTCCCCTCCTCTCTCTGCCAGCATCCATCACCAAGATGGCCGCGCATGCCTCGGGACGCCCCTGATTGTAATGTGTGTGTTTGAGGTCTTAAGCTGGCCATACACGGCTTGAATTTCAGCCCATTCCTGCTGTAAGCACCATCCGGCTTGAAAAGTTTCAATTGAATAAGGAGCCATGTGAAAAATTGTCGTCCCAACATCGACTGCATCCAGCCACAGGTGGCAGTTGCTTGAATACAGTAGCCAGCATTGGAGATAACTCCATCCACACTGTTTAGCATGGATGGAGAAATTGACTGATTCCTCCTGTGTATAGCTACCATTATGAGTGAATCCTAATATCCAATGCTGTTTGTTTTTACTGATTTGACTGCTTAAAATACATAATGTACAGACAGACAGTAATTATTTATTTCTGGTAACACTTTGCACTCAAGGCTCGATTCACATATAGCGTTTGCTTTTCCCATGCAGTCTTCTGCATACGCTAAAATCTTTCATCTGGACAGATTCCGCTCGTTTGCAGGTACTAGAAAAGCCACAAATGTGCGGAATCCGTCAAAAAAATTGCGCTTGGAATATTGTATTAGCCACGCAGTTACGCACTGCACACCCGCCAGAAAAGTCTGAATAATGCTCATTAAAGTGCATTGGTTTTTATTTTTAGAGCGGTAGTTTCGGCGGTACGAATACGCGCAGACAATTGCTCCTGTGTGATTGGAGCCTTCGTTTGGAAATTATAATATTCCCTTAAAGGATTGCTTCAGCTCATTCATATGCAGGGATTGGTCTGTCAGATGATGCTGTAACATCCTAAGGGGGTGATTTATAAATCATCGCCCCAGAGATATGCTGGCCAAATTCAGTTTGCATGGCACAGATGGAGCCGAGGTGCAGAGGAATTTCCTCAGACCCAACTAATGGCGAGAATGCCATATGAATGGCATTTGGCTGGTGTATGTCTGGGCAGATGATTTATAAATCATCCACCAAGTGTGTTACTATCTAGAGTTTAATCTAACCATTTCAGAAAGGAAAAGTCCTGCGCCATTTATGAATATAATTAAATTTTTTTGTTCATTTACGGCAACACTATTAAAAATTGATCACAGCCAATCTTCTGTTTTTGAAGCTTAATTCAGACCCATGTACTGTGAAAAATGCCATGATGTACTGTGCACAGTAACGCAAAGCACTTTGTGTAGTGTGTTGCAGTGTCATTAATTTAGAATAAAGTAATTGCAAAGCACCCTTTCTGCAGTGCACCACAAAGCACATACCTCAAATACATATTGAGCCTGCCAGTCAAAGTCTACCTCTTCCTCCACCAGAGTGTGTCCACCTCCACTCTTAACGGAACAAATTGCTGGAAACCTTGGCGCATCCACCTCCACACAGAGCACTCAGGGCAGCTTTCCAAATTGTATGACCTGCTTAGAAAAGGTCATACAGTGCTTAGCAATTATTAGAGGGTATCCAGCAATCTCTCCACAGGAACCACCCCCACTGAAACATCCGGCTCTACTGCAATCTTCCACTCCAGAACAAGATAAAGAAGCGCCTCCACTCTTGGCAAGTTACACACCATGAAAAAGCAAGAAAAGGCACTCCAAATCACGCAGATTATTTAAAATGTATTACATATAAACATATCAAAACATCCCCTTCTAAAATCAAGTAGAACAACTTGCATAACCTCAAACGACACGTAACCGTTTGTGAGCCCCCTATGTAATAGCAATAAAGTTAAATGATAAAAAATGTTTTCATAAAATAAACATAAAAACACCCCCCAAAAAATTCCCCTCCCCCACGTACACACACATATTAATAAAAACACACATCCAGTGCGTCTACGTACAAAAACGACAATTGCACCACATTAGGTATCCAGACATCTCAACTCTCCCGGACATTCCAGGAGTCTCCCACTATAAGATAGCGGCTCCCAGACACCCGGGAAAGAATCATTTTATCCCGGAAAGGTTTACTCTGCTATGTCTAGTAGAGTATAATAGCCAATAGCAAGCTGGCTATTGCACCCGCCCAGTGCTGCTGTCAATCAGCAGAGGTGGACCTGAAGTCTTTTTATTCTAAAAAAAACAGCAGATAGCAAGAGAAGCATTAGCTCCCGTGCTATCTGCCATCATTTCATTTCAGGGGGGTGTCCTCTCCCCCCTCCTCCCCCCCCCCCACGGATGGGGGGGGGGGCACCTCCCTGAAATGACTTTTTTCAGGTTGGGATGCCTGGGTATCACTTGCATATATCAGTGTGGCAGCACTAATTCTAAGGCCATTATTCATGGTTATCCCTAAGCAGATAGCCTGTAAAAGCTTTTTAAACATCGCTTATAGACAATTTTGGGTATCGTAGGTTTTCACCATATCACAGCGCATGCAATTCGATGCTTGACATGTTTGTTATCTATTTGTTAACATCCTCTTGAGAAGTGCAACCTCCTCTCGAAAATGTAGGTTTGATAAACAGTTGCGCTAATATCATGTGACATAAAAAATTGGACCTGCCACCATTTTATTCTATAGGGTCTCTGCTTTCAAAAATATATACTTCTGGGGGGTTAAGTAATCTTCGGGCTAAAAATGTGCATTTTAACATGTGTGCCAAAAAAAAAGCAAGAACAGCGCTGGCAGCGAGAGGGTTAAGAAAGGAGTACAGCGTGTGCCATTTGGTGAATGAGATGGAGCTAAATGATCATTTATGTTGCAAAGAATACCCAATCATGTGGAAGGGAAATAAAATAAAAAAATGTTTTTGCTTTCACATGGTTGGATGATTGAAGTTAGTTTTATCTCATTTGCTAAGCTAAGTACAATGTTACTTTGCAAAGTAAATTTGCTCTACTCCTTTAGTAAATCAACCTCAATGTATACACATTTATGTACTGTATGCCTGAATGCAACATGCACTACAGACACTAAAAGGGGAAATATGCTCAGTAAACTCCACTCCCTGGCCCCCAAAAAAGTCACCCCCTGGATTTAGTAAGAAGGTAAGAGTTTTCTATTAGATAATTTATCTAGGTTAAGGATGGTTTTGTCCCCAAAAATGAGGCCACTTGCCTACCTGAATAGCTTACCTGAATATTCTGAATGGCCAGGTTTTTGCATCATCATCATATCATCATATTCCAACATGGCAATGCGAGTATTCATCGAATTCATATTGTGAAAGAGTGGTACAGGGAGCACGAGGCATCATTTCCACACATGGATTGGCCACCACAGAGTCCAGACCTTAACCCCATTGAGAATCTTTTGGATGTGCTGGAGAAGACTTTACGCAGTGGTCCGACTCTCCCATCATCGCTACAAGATCTTGGTGAAAAATTAAGTCTGGACGGAAATAAATGTTGTGACATTATATAAGCTTATTGAAACAATGCCACTGGAATGTGTCCCGTGATCAAAGCTAAAGGTGGTCCAACGAAATATTAGAGTGTGTGACTTTTTTTTTTGGCCAGGCAATGTGTTTACAGGTGAAATTCCAACCTCAAAACAGGTAACTCTGTAATTATGTTTTTCTGTAGCTTTTTCCACATCCTTATCGCAGTGTCTGTGAAATTTGTACCAGTACTAGTCAGTTACTAGGAAAAATAAAATAACTCATCAGGGTTTATTTAACAGCATGATGTAAAGAAAAATGTATGTGTTATCTCATAGCAAACTCTTGTTGTATTCGTTCCTGTAGTTGAATGTGTGTCTAATACAGCCCTAATCTCATCCAAGGTTCTGTGGAACCCAATGGGTCCTCCAGAGGTTGCTGAGGCTGAATTGAGCAGATATGATCTCCCACCTGCCTGTATAGTTCTGGCACCAACATTACTCAGCAGAGCCAGCAGTATTGATCCGGTGGAGCCTCTCTTTTTCTCTTTGATAACTAACCACTGAAACCAATGATCTATAGCTGTCTGTAATGGTGCAGTCTTATCACTGACCAAATTGCCAGAAATATTTTTGTATAGAGCAGGGGTATTATAAATGATCTTCTCTGGGTGCCAGATAGTCTAAGTATGCCCTATTTTATTATTATTTTTTATTTATTTATCTACTACTTACTGATCTTGCCACAAAATAAGATCTGTTGCATAAAAATAGGTCAATTGAAGTTGAAGAAATTGTATGAAAATAACCAACCGCTCAGTGTCTGCAACCCCCCTCTGCCAATCCCTCCACTGGCTTCCACTCGCCCAAAGGATATAATAAAAAATATTAACAACCACTTATAATCACCATCCACAACTCTGCCCCCGCTAAATCTCAAACCTTGTCTTAAAGTATCACCCTAACTGTCCCCTCTGCTCTTACAAAGAGCTCCTGATATCCAGCTCCCTCGTCAACTCCACCCATGCTTGCCTCCAGGACTCATGTAGAGTCTCTCCCATCCTCTGGAACTCTTTACCACAACCTGTCCATCCAGTGGCAGACCTAAGGAACAAAGGTCCCTGGTGCAAGAATTTTTTTGGGGCCCCCCCCCAAAAAAAACCCAAGCCCCCCAATCCACACCCGCTGAAGCAACCACAAAATAAAGTTGGAAAAATTTTAAAAAATAATAGATCAAAAATATATTTATTTGAACATAACATGTCTCCAGGCAGTGCAGGACCTCACAGCAAACGAAACTTTTAAAAAATGCCTCCTTCAATGATTGCGGACCTACCCCATAAGGCTGGGGTGGGTGGAAGGGCACGTAGTTCGATTCAGTCCTGGCCCCTCTCCCCCAGACTCATGCAGTAGGTACCCTGCTGGCGGCACCCATCCATAATGCAGCACCTGGGGCACATGCCTCCCCTGCCCCCCTTCCCTAGTTTTGACCAAGGGTATCGGTGCATCCGTATTTACAGCAATGCAGAATGGCACAGGCTATAGAGGACTACACATCCCAGCAGGGAAAAAAAAACCTGTGTCTGTGTGCTCATGCGGCTGCTTGCTGGGTCCTCACAGCCGGCCAAGGCTGTGTGAATGGATGATCCGACACTCCCGGCGCAGAGACAGGGGGCTATCTGGCGGCTGTCTAGCCCCACCATCTCTGCGCAGGGACTGTGCTGGGCCCCCCCCAGGCTTGGGCCCTGGTGCTGCACCAGCGGTAGGTCCGCCCCTGTATCCATCTATCTCCTACTCTGATTGCTTTTAGGCGATCCCTAAAGACTAATCTCTTTAGGGAAGCCTATCCCACATCAAACTAAACACTGAACTATCTCTCTCTCTTAGGCCCCATTCACACCTATGCGTATTGTAATATGCGCGTCTGTCGCGCGACCGTCACACGGTTTTTTTACCGCGATTCGACTTGGCAGTATCTAAATGGAAAACGCCCTACAAAACGGACCAATACGCAGCAAAAACGCTCCGGGACCTTTTCATGCGTGGCCCGTTTTGTAGTGCGTTCGGGACGGGCGGAAATACGGACAGGTGGGAACGATACCATTGACTACAATGCTATTTATTTTTTTTGACCGTTTTGTAGAGCGTTCATCGAGCGTAGGACGCGCTACAAAATGGTCAGGTGTGAATGGGGCCTAAAACAATTCATCCCCACATAGCTACCACCTTATGTATCAAATGTCCCTCCCTTTTAGATTGTAAGCCCTCAGGGGCAGGGCCCTCCTTACCAGCTTGTCTGGAATTGTATTGTAATTGTAATGTCTTCCTTATATTGTAAAGCGCTGCACAAACTGTTGGCACTATATAAATCCTGTATAATAAACATAATAATAATAACATTGTTAGGAAACTGGTTGCATGGATGGGTCCAGAGAGTAGTAATAAATAATTAATTCTCCAAATGGTCTGAGGTTGGGATTATTATTATTTGTGTATCACTCGGCTGTAGATCCCCAAATCATCTTTGAACTGGTGCTGACCCAGTCCTTCCTTCTGGAGGGTGGCTACTTTGGTTCCCCATGGTCCTTGTGTGTGTTGTAAAGCAGCTACCACTCCAAGTTCGCTCCCGTGATGGACTACAATCTCAATACAAATTAGTGCACTAAACAGATTGTAGTCTGTCACGGGTGTGAGCTTGGAGCTGTGACTACTTTACAACACACACAGGGACCATGGAGAACAAAAGCAGCCACCCTCCAGAAGGAAGGACAGTGTCAGCATGAATTCAGAGATGATTTGAGGATCTACAGCCAAGTGATTCAGAAATAAGATACATTTTTGTTAATAGTTAAGGTACCTAAATGCATTTTTAACATTTAACCCCTAAGTTTAGTGTCACTTTAATTTGTTTATTAATGATATTGAGGTTGGAATTAAGAGATCAATTTCAGTGTCTGCTGATTATACCAAGCTATAATCAGTAGAGAAATACATTCAAAAATATATAAAAATACAGAGAAATACATTCGGAAAAGCATGTAGCGTTGTTATGTAAAGACCTTGATAAATTAGAGGGTTGGACAGCTAAATGGCAGATGAGGTCCCATATTGAAAAATGAAAGTTTATGCACTTGGGTGCAAAAATACGCATGCAAAATACTTCTTTTGGGAGTGCCTCCTGTGGGAGAATCAGCAATTTGAAAAGGATCTGATGGCGTTTGTAGATCACAGATTTAGTGATGCCAACTTGCAGATAAAAAAAAGCTAGCACTATACTCACATATATACTATATATAAAAAAAGGCATATACCCCTTTATAAAAGGTTCTGCCTCATCTAGAGTATTCTGTTCAGTTTTGGTCACCAATCCTCTGGAAGGATGTCCTTGAACTAGAAAGAGTTCAGTGAAAGGGAAGAAATTAGTAAGGGGGTTGGAGAACCTTAGCTATGAAGAACGATTATAAAGATTACACTTTACACTGCGTAGAAGAGACAGGGAATACGATCACAATGTACATATATATCAAAGATGATTATAGCAAAAATGTAATCATATGTTTACTTATTATGTTTAAATTACGTGTGATTTGTAATAGATCTCTGTCCCTGGACGCATCTATCCAGTATCCAGGGACAGTGATCTATTTCAAACCCAATGTAATCGTATCACATACAATTACATGCAAACTGCAGCTTACAGATGCGGCCGCTGTCACCAAGGTCATTAACTTCAATGGATACTGCGGCTGCTGCTAAATGTGACAATTGCTATTCCTGCAGCAAATCTCAAATCACAGTGTGAATGAAGCTTTACTGAGAGTGCTAATAAATTCAAAAATATTTCAGATGGCTTTCACAGGGAGCATGATATAGAGGGCTATGGTTTTACCTCAAGACCCAAATTTAGACACACACACACATATATTCACATAACTTAAGTTAATGGACCCGTGTCTCTTTTCAACCTTATCAGCTATAACTATGTAATGTATCACGATCTGTAGATATAATAATTTTTAGCAGTGGTTTCCAGAGAAATTAAGATCATTCAAAGGCCCCCCCAGGGTAAAAGAGTTGAGAAAAGCTGAGATAGAATGTAAAATGTGCTCTGTCACAAAGTCTATGCCAGTTAGAATATGAATTTTCCCTATAGCAACCCCAGAGAATATTATGCTTCTTTGCTAATAATATCGCATGTGAAATTATGCAATCAGCAAAATTCCAGTGATGCAATCCGGCTGTAGGAAACGTAGTTGAGGATATAAAAAGCAGTGGGAAGGAGGAAAGGGAGCACAACACTGTAATAGTAAGCTGAACGCAGAAACAAAAAAAGAGTTTAGAAAGAATAGTGGAAAAGGGAGAACTGGGAACAACTCAGCCCAGGGGAGGAGCAGCTGTATGTGGCTGGAGAAGCTCTATATCCATTCTAGGATTGCATGGCTTGGCACAGACAGCACACTGAGCAGTGACAGGCGAGAAGCTCTACTATATTTCCGGTACATGCCAGAATATTGTAAGTAACTAAACACACCAGCTGTGTCAGCACTATATGCCTAAGGTTAGCAGTATCATCCACATGGATGAGAAAAATGTGGAAATGCTGAAATATATTCATTCTTTATGAGGGCCTGTATGTTTCTACTCATTGTATGTTATCTTACAATAAGCTAGTCTTAGAATGATTGTACTGTTTATACTGATATAGAATATATTCATTTATATTTAATACTTTACCATTGGCTATCTGTATTATACAATAGTAATCTTGTGTTTTATCATTTTGTTCCTGGGATTTGACAGAACACAAATTTACTAGTTCTTTATGATTATTATAGTTTTAAAATGTATTCTTTTTTGAGAAATGCAAGTGAGACTGGATGCTGCTGATATCTAAGCACTGTAACATGAACAAGACATTCTACTGGCATGACAGCCAGGCATCTCCGAAGGTATTAAAGCCAAAGACAGCCAGGCAAATAGCATTTGTAGACACACATCAGCTGTGGCATTCTACACATTTTTGTCAGATTAGGTTTTTCTGTTCACACAGAAAACACTGTGACATGTGTTGTGCATTGGTACACTGAGGTGCCATTCATTCTTAAAGTGTATGTTACCCCAAAAATTACTATCACATTTAAGTGTCTGCTTTTCATTTTGTTTTTGGTTAATCTGTCCTAATAATTTTTTTTTATTCTTTCATTGCTTATAAATACCTGGGGATCCTGCTGGTTCTCCTTCTGCCCCTCTCCAGTCTGACTACACCAAGCGTAGAAGCAGATCCGTGTTGGTGTGGTCAGTTTGTATATCTATGTTCCTCCTTGGAGATACAGGATGCAGTGAGCATGCACAGCGTGCCTGTGTCTCCTGTAGTTAGTTTAGAGTCGCACTACTGAAATAAGTCAAAGTGATTATGGTTAGAAACCAATATTTTCTATATAACAATGTAATTTTGTTGTATTGCGTTCACATTAATGACACCCCAACCCACCTTGCCAGTGGACATACCTTGCAGTGCACCACTTGCAAGGTAACACACTACCATATGTTGTAGTGCACTGCATTGAAAAAACGACACGCACCTATTCTGGTGCATTCTGGTGCATTAGGTAGCCCATTACAATAAATGGACTGGCCCTAACACACTGCTTATTTACGTTAAACACACTGCAACTCTGTGAAGCCAGCATTAAAGGAGAACTATGAGGTGAGTGCTTTTCACTGACCTCATAGTTCTAGCCGACCTGTGACAATGAGACTGTCACAGGTCGGCTCAGTAGAGCGGGAGGTGAGCGAACACATACCGGTGTTCGCTCACCTCTCGATCCTGTCACGGCTCTCTGCCGTGATAGGGGAGGGGCTGGATTCCCCCCTCCCCGCTCAGATCCGCCATCCCCAAAAATTACTATCACATTTAAGTGTCTGCTTTTCATTTTGTTTTTGGTTAATCTGTCCTAATAATTTTTTTTTATTCTTTCATTGCTTATAAATACCTGGGGATCCTGCTGGTTCTCCTTCTGCCCCTCTCCAGTCTGACTACACCAAGCGTAGAAGCAGATCCGTGTTGGTGTGGTCAGTTTGTATATCTATGTTCCTCCTTGGAGATACAGGATGCAGTGAGCATGCACAGCGTGCCTGTGTCTCCTGTAGTTAGTTTAGAGTCGCACTACTGAAATAAGTCAAAGTGATTATGGTTAGAAACCAATATTTTCTATATAACAATGTAATTTTGTTGTATTGCGTTCACATTAATGACACCCCAACCCACCTTGCCAGTGGACATACCTTGCAGTGCACCACTTGCAAGGTAACACACTACCATATGTTGTAGTGCACTGCATTGAAAAAACGACACGCACCTATTCTGGTGCATTCTGGTGCATTAGGTAGCCCATTACAATAAATGGACTGGCCCTAACACACTGCTTATTTACGTTAAACACACTGCAACTCTGTGAAGCCAGCATTAAAGGAGAACTATGAGGTGAGTGCTTTTCACTGACCTCATAGTTCTAGCCGACCTGTGACAATGAGACTGTCACAGGTCGGCTCAGTAGAGCGGGAGGTGAGCGAACACATACCGGTGTTCGCTCACCTCTCGATCCTGTCACGGCTCTCTGCCGTGATAGGGGAGGGGCTGGATTCCCCCCTCCCCGCTCAGATCCGCCAGCGCTGACTGGCGGAACGGACAGGGGAGGGTACAGCTGGCTTTGCCTCTAGATAGGCAGAGCCAGCTGTCAGTCACGCATAATTGTCGGGATCCGCTTCAGCGTCTCAGTATACCGCGAGCTACAGCTCACGGTATACTGAGCCTAGGGTAACGGGAGGATGCTAGTTTGTGTCCTCCCGTTACCCTAAGGAGAACTATGGGGAAAAGCCTTAACCCAATCATTCTCCTTTAAGGAGATATGTGTGCATGAACTCGGCACATCTAACTTAGGCTGTTAGATGAAAAAACATACATACTTTAGAGTCAAATCACTAAGATGTTATTATAACACCACTGCTTATTTTATCTTTTACATTCAGTTCACAAACATAAATGCCCCTTTATTACCATCCTGAAGCTGGTGTTTTGTTAAATGGTGCTAACACGTGTGCTAACATTTGTGAATTGACCTTTACATTGATTGTTTTCAATGGTTTGGATTCAATGGTTCAAGGGTTGATAATATAACACAGAGAGTTATAATAGCACATACAAAGCATGCTAAAGAAAGAATTGAATTCATCTTTGTGAGGTACAGTCCATAAGATGTGGTATCAAGGAAATGACAACTGAACAAGAGAAAATCACTTTGTGAATTGAGCCTTTTGTATTTTAAAGTAAACCTTTTATTACCAGTAAGATTCCGAACAGGTTTAATCAGTACAATGAAGACAAGTATAAGGTACACATCTTTACATAACCCCTCTAGCTCTTGTGCAAAGAGAACACACAAAAGAAGCAGCGCTCCTCCATGGCTCAGGGAAGCAATGAGTTGAGTGCTTGCCGCTGTGAGCTGTCCTCGCTCCAATTATAGCCTATACACAGAGAAGAAAAGCTGGCCCATGAACAACAGATGAGCAGCTTTGAATGCAGACAGTTTGCATCCAGGGCTGCTCATTTGTCCCTAACTGCAGGTAATTGCTCCACTTGCAATAATGTGCCAACAGCCACAGACAGTGGTGGAGCTTGTCAGCCTGTCATTGATTTGTACAGGCTTCTTGGCTGTGGCTGATTGCAAACAACAATTACCTGAGATACCCGTCACAGAAATACTCTGATTGGCAGTGTATGACCCTAACCGTCCATGATGATGCCTTACACTATATAAATCCTGTATAATAATAAATAATATTTAAGAAGTGTTGAAAATGGCATCTTATTTTGGCCCTAGATGTTGGGCACTAACAGGCAATGGAGGAGCCATGAAGGTTTGGTGCATTGTACTGCTGCAGTCAGTCAAGTACATTAATGTTTCTGACGGGTTTGCTTTAAATTAAAATCATTGCATCACTCCCCTGTAGTTATGTAACAGCTAACTTGGAGTTTATGTACCTGCAGAAATGTTTGTGTCAGAACTAATTTTGTTCCCAAATAAATTAATGCAAAAGTAATTTGATGCTTCATAGAATAAGCTCAGAAGTTAGTAAAAAAAACCTGTACCCTGAGAAACACCAAAGAGCATTTTCGGACCACCTGGAGCCCTTGGGCCTTCTTCCAAATCACTGAACCTTATCTCCGTGTCATGACAGACCCTCTCTCATGGCCACTTTACACACTAATTACGAAAGTTGCCTTGACTCGCTTGCTTTGTTGGGGGGCTCTGGATCCCTGGAGGCCAGATGGCTCCCCCACATTGTTTTTCCTGTCCCCTCTTCACTCCCCAGATTCTGCTGTCCCCCCATACCCTCACACTCCATCTTTACTGTTCTCTCTTTCAGATTTTTCCTCTTAAACCCCATTTATAACCCATTTGTTACTAAAACCTATCATTTGTTATACACGTTCTCCTGAAACGGAGTATTATATATGCCATCCTGATTTTAGCGCTGACATATACATTGAATGAGAATGTGATGCAACTTTCACTTTTGTAAGTGGGTTACTACGAGTTCTTGAGAATCTAAGTTATGTTATATGACACTTGATGAGTTAACATTCCAATGTTATTTGCCATTAAATTTGTATTGTTTTACGGACAGATTATTATGTGATCTACAGCGATGTTGTTGTTTTGCATCTTCTTCAATAAAGATGTTTTGTAATTAATAAACAAAAAAACCTGTGCGGAAACAGACAGCATCATAAACCAATCTCAAATGCCAGCTGTATGTACCTGAAAGCGTAATGCATTTGTCAGGGGTGTATTTACAGATTATGGGGCCCTATGGTGACCTCCTTACTGTCATTTATCCTAATATAAAGTATGTCTATATGAGGGTGAGGTAGCAGGAGAGCTGTCAACATAGTGAGTACATTACTAGGGACCCCTGCTGTGGACAAAGGATCTCAGGGAAGACAGGAGGCATTGGTTCATACAGTATACATTTAACCTTCATTTTCTAGATAACTACAATGTCCTCAGTAGCTCATCGGTCTTTTTAAGCATCTCAGATCTCAGGACCTTAATGTAAATTCTAAACCTTTCCACTGCCACAGCAAGAAAGTGCTGAAAAAGGCGGTAAAGGAGAAAAAAAAAAAAGATGCTGTAGCAATATAAAAAAAAATTGCATAAGCATATTTTATATGGTGACATAATTGTTAGTTCTGGTGACCTACCCTACATGCAAATGTATTTAGACTGTGGCTTTTTTTTAATTGCAGAACTACAAACTACATCTTGTCCGTTTTACCTGAGTAGCCACTCTAGGATTTTTTACAGGCCAAGGAAGACTATGTTAGGTATGCATGGTTAATTTCAGTGCTAGCCAGGATGACCAGAAGCTCTGAGGACAATAAATCTACACTACTAAAAGAGCTAAACAGATTCTCCTTACTGCATAGCTTGCAAAAGGGATATGTGACTAGAGACAACAATTTTTTATTTCAATAATTTTTATTGAGTATTTAGTAGGGATCGGCCGCGATACCGAGTATTTGCATGGGTACTCGTACTCGTGCAAATGCTCTGATGTCCAAAACGAGTACCTGTGTCCGCCATCTTCCACCGCCGCACACAGCACACAGGACCGCGTCTGCATTCATGCAAGATGGCCGCGAACTCCTTCTCCACGGACAAACGGCCGAAACCAGACTCCGCCTTCAATTCCTCTGTCCTCACTCGTGATTGGTGGGGAAGCCTGTCAATCATCCAATCTGCCAATCAGCGTGAGAAGAGGCAATTCCTCTGTCCTCACTCGTGATTGGTGGGGAAGCCTGTCAATCATCCAATCGGCCAATCAGCGTGAGAAGAGGCCGGCATTGACAGATGACTAGGCTGTGACACGAGTGGATGAAGCAGACGGAGACGACGGAGAAGAAGGTTAGCAGCACTGCTGGGGCTGGGCACATATTTATTTCTGCATACCTGGCTGTATATTAAATTTTTTAATGTATAATATACAGCCAGGTATGCAGAATTAGATATAACTGTGCCACACTACAGGTGTGGGCTGGGCACAGGATGGCATAAAAAAAGTTATATCTGCCCCTTTAAGAAAAAGTATCGGTAATTGGTATCGGCGAGTACTAAAAAAAAAGTATCGGTACTCGTACTCAGACCCAAAAAAGTGGTATCGGTGCATCCCTAGTATTTAGACATAACAGGTACTCAAACAAATAAGGCACAGAGAAGTATCATCAGAGGAAATCGTTAAAAGTATAACATCAGTCAAACAGGATACAGTGCAATCACTAGAGGTACAGGGACCAGTGTAATAGAGACAACAATTTTGAAGTGTCCTCTTGTGTGTTAGTTCTTCTTGATAGGAAATGTTACAGGGCTACAGGGTCAAAGTCAATTGCAATCTCTGCAATCCTTAAAGGAGAACTATGGGGTTAGGGCTTTTCCCCATAGTTCTCCTAAGAGTAACAGCTTGCGGTATACTGGGACGCCGCAGCTGAAACAGATCCCGACAATTATGTCTGGATTCGCCCAGCTGCGTGAGTGACAGCTGGCTCTGCCTATCTAGAGTACCTGCCCCCTCCCCCGTCCGTTCCACCAGTCGGCGCTGGAGGATCGGAGCGGGGAGGGGGGAATCCAGTCACTCCCCTGTCACGGCAGAGAGCCGTGACAGGATCAAGAAGTGATCGAATGCCGGTATGTGTTCGCTCACTTCCTGATCTACTGAGCCGACCTGTGACAGTTTCATTGTCACAGGTCGGCTAGAACTATGAGGATGAGTGAAAAGCACTCCCCTCATAGTTCTCCTGTAAAGGAGAACTATGAGTTGAGTGAAAATCCATCACCCTCATAGTTCGAGCCGACGTGTGACAATGAAACGGTCACACGTCGGCTCAATAGATCAGGAAGTGGGTGAACACATACCGTTGCTCGCTCACTTCTTGATCACCCCCCTGCAGAGAGCGGTGACTGGAGGAACAGACGGGGAGGGGGTGGGTGAGCTGGCTCTGCCTCTGGATAGGCAAAGCCAGCTGTCACTCACGCAGCTGGGTGCATCTAGACAGTAATGTCGAGATCCGCCCCGGCTGCGGCGGTCTCAGTATACAGCGAGCTGTAGCTCGCGATATACTGAGGTTTGGGTCACGGGAGGACGCTAGTATATGTCCTCCCATGACCCTTAGGCTTCATTCACACTAGAAAAGGACGGCACGTACAGCTCAGGTTTATTACGGTTAATACAGTACTGATACTGAACTCAGCCAAAGACACAGAAGATGTGGCTTCCTATCGTCCTATATCATTATTAAATGTTGGCCTAAAAAACTATGATGGCCATCTGGTTATAACACTGCTACCCTGGTAAGAATTACTTTAGAATTGCTAGTATTTTTTCTGATTTGGACTTGGAACAACAATTAGCCAATGGGGGTTCTTTATCCTTTTTGTGACACTCAAAGAAAAATGAGTGCCCTGGAATAACAAGTAGGTCACCTTTATTTGGTGTTACCTTAAAGGCCTGAAATCTATTTTGGAAATATCAAGAAAACAAATTTGAGAACTCATATTATTTGTCTATTAGGTTTATACCAGGAATAATTTTAAAAACATTTTACGAATAGGTTAGATGAGGTTATACCTTACTCTCTAAATTCCTAGATTAAAAGGTGACATCATCACATTTAAAGTACTTAGATAAAACTTTGGCATGACTAATAGTGTCTATATAGGCAAATAATATACTATATGGACACAATCAAAGTAGAAGGTTTGAACATCCAGGGAATGCTAAGTCTTGACCAGGGCAGGATTTACTCTCTCTGCTGCCCCAAGGCCAGGTTGCTCAATGCGCCCCCCTACCCTCCAACTCCCCCCACCCCATGGAGAATGGCAAACCTGCAGGCTGCATACAAGTGATCTCGGCGACATCGCCAGGATCACTTGTACAGATCAAGTGGCAGCTTCCCCGCTGTACATTTAGCTCTGCTTGCCCAAAGCAGGGCTAAATGTAGAAAACAACTACCGGCCCGGCACCCGAACATGCATGTCCTGGGCATTGGGAGATAGGAATTCCACACCCCTGCTGCCCCTCTACTCCCTGCTGCCCCAACCAAGGCCGGGCCTTGGTTGGCCTTGTGGGAAATCCGGTCCTGGTCTTGATTGAAAAATCTTCCAGGGGTATATGTGATATTAATTTAAGCGGAATTAACTTTTACCTGTATCTCAGAATCAAGTACTAGTATCAAGTAAACGCATAATTCTATTTTACTGTTTTGCAGCATAGTCTAAGTGCAAATTCCATTGTTTTGTATGTTCCAGATTGTGTTTTCCAGTAGATTGTGTTCGCACCAAGACCAAGATATCTGTCTGCATAATATGACAACAGGTATTTCATTTGCTGATATTTTTTATAGATAGGCTTAGATGATTTGCTAAAGAATGGAACATAATTAGTATTTGAAAAGACCCCAAATTCCTGGGTTAGTGTTACAATTAAATTAATAGATATTAGTAAATCCAAAAATGTGTGTCTTATTTGTGTTATTTTGTAGCATTTGGTAATAGATCAGGTTTAAACCATTGAACCTTGTGTGTGTGTGTGTATATGTATATGTATATATATATATATATATATACATATATATATATAGAT